GCAGAATTTTATCCTCGCAGCGGCACGTTCCAAGGCAACAGTGTCGCGACCAACGAGTTTCACGTACCGTACTGGCAAGCTGTTCACGCATGGGAGGAAAAAACGAAAGATCATCATCTACTGGCCGTATCTCCTCTCAATGCGGCCGTCATCGACATGTCCATCACCTCCTTCGTCGACGATCTATGTAAGCAGTACACGGTTACTACACCTACGAGCTTCTACGATACTCAAGCACGGCACGACAGCTTCTACGATACTCAACACGGCACGACACTGAGTACACCATATTCGACGCGAGCAGCACAGGCAAGAGCGAGTCCACCGTACACTTCGTCGGCACGCTTGCGCATACATATCAACGACAAGTACATGCACAACAGTCACAATACAAAGTACTCAGCGCAGCACGATATCTCGGGCCATATCTACACTACCGCAATTGCTTCTATGTCGAGCGAAACTTAAGGATACAAGCTGCCAACAAAGCATGGTTTATATTCAAAAGGTTTTGGTTCACTCGCACTGATCTTCGCTTTCGCGTTCTCGTATTTCGATGCACAGTATGGTCAGCACTTGTCTCAGGGCTCACAGCTTTCGTCCTCACCCAGCACGACTACAACATCTTCGACAAATATATACTGTACAAGGCACGTAAACTCATGAAAGGCAAGGCTACCCAAAAGACCCTTCTCGACGACGGCACGATTAAGTATCGACCCATTCCATCGATCGAAGTGTGGCGCAACATCGGCATGGCAGACACACTTACAGAGTTACGTATACAGAGATTGAAATGGTTTCAGAAGATATGCAGTCATCCTCTTCATCATCAATTGTACGTCACCGCTATGTTCGGTCGCTTTCCTCACGACCCCCCAGAAGATGCGATTTCCCACCCTTGGTTGCAGCAGCTGAATGAAGACTTGCAGGCATTATCGTTGCTGGAGTGTGCTTATTTTCTTGAAGATGTATCCCCGCGGCAGTTGCTAGACGCTGGCACATTGCAGGAAGACTTTCTCGAGATCGATATCTCAGCATTGCGTGCTAAGTTCCTCTCAGTCAACATACCTCCTCATCACCATGAGTATGACACGCTAAATCCTACTACATCATCATGTTCTTTACCTACGGGTGAATATTATTGTGGTCTCATGCGCACTGATGGTAACATATGCACACTTACGTTCCCCACCATGAAAGCACTCAGATTACACCGGGCACGCGAACAGTCCATGCACGGCATGATTACGTTAGACTCCATCGTGTTAGAGGCAGTATGTCCATGGTGTTCTACACACTTCTCTACTCGTAAAATTGCACAAGATCACGCAAGGCGTAGTTGGCATTATGGTAGATGTATTGCCGACCAGAGCTTTATCCCCTCGCCTCCTATTGTATCGGACACAACATATTCATGCGCTATATGCAAGCTCTACGGCAATAATTACGAGTGCGACGACATATACGTGTACAATCATCATATCCGTACCAAGCATCTCTCTGGTCCAAGAAGATTGGAGTTCTCAGCATCCGATACTCTCAGCATTCTTCATCCTACTGGTCCCTCAGAGAGTGCTGATGGATCTCGGCCTAGCAGCAGGCGGCGCCAGACCGCCACAGAAGGAGCGACGCAAAGGAGCCAATCAACACGACCTGCAGGCCCTCGTTCTTCTCATAGCAAAGTTGACCCTCAGTACTGCTATGTCGTCGAGGATTCTCAGGGCCATCGCATTGGAAAACTATCAGGTGAGCGAGAGCTCCGAGTATTTCGTCCAGGGGAAGAATTCTACCGAGAGCTATGCGGAGGCCGCGAAGCAGTACGGGAAGGACCAGAAGCAACAGAAGATCGCAGCCCTCGCTCATCCTCACGTACACGTCTGGAATGCATGGATCATCGTGGCGAAGACGTCTCTTGGAGTGAAAGACCTCGACCCGCCGAAGGCCACCAGTCTTCAGCAGTACATCGACAAGATGAAACAAGGCAGCCCCGAGACGTCCAAATACCTTCACAATCTCCTGAAAGAAGTTCAATATGCACGATGCTGCAAGACCTACGACAGCAAGACCAAGCGCCTGGAGGTCAACGTCAAGCCCAACAGCGACAGCGAGAAGGTATTGCAGCAAATCCTGGTTCCGTTGTGGCTACGCGACAAAGCAGTGAAGCTCGAAGGAGTGGCGCCACCAGGGGACCTCGAGCGCAGGATTCAGCAGGCGATCGACGAGTTCGAGGCCCAGTGATACCCTCAGAGGCAGCTCGTGCCGTGCCTGACCCAAGGCGGGGGGCGCGGTGCGAGTGGGGACTGCCCGGCGGTGCGCCGTTAGTGACCCTCGCACCGTTGCTCCCCGGCCCCGCGCACGGCGCTGAGAGTTCAACTCTGCCTCTGGCTGGATGGAACAAAAACGTGCCTGACCCAGGCGCTCGACGAGTACAGCAGGCAGATCATCCTGCTGCGGACGCTCGTGCTGTGCCTGTCACATCAGCCGATCATCGAGTTCGGCACGCAGTGAGGCCTGCTGACGCTCGTGCTGTGCCTGATGTTCCAGGCCCCTGCCGCCAGCCGAGAGACAGATCCCCTCCTCGTCCCCCCCCTCCTCCTCCTCTTCCAGTTTTGAGTGTGTCCGACGGAGTTCGACTGTCGTCACGGTTTCAGGAGGCTCGTTTGAAACATGAGCGATCTAAATCGAGATCACAGGGATAAGACTTGTGGTGCACTTGTGCTACAGGTACGAGTGTACGGCGTTCGCGGCCCCTCACGCTTCGTGCTGATTCGGGGCTTGCGTGCACTGTCGTCGGTGGGCCTTGCTCGTGTCACCCCCTCTACAGTCGCGCGTCTCTGAGCGTATGAGCCCCTGTTTAAGTCCTTTCTGCCAGGCTGAATCGACAGGTCTTCGAACGATCGCTCTTGTGAGTTGTTATTATTATTATCCTCCTCCTCCTCCTCCTCCTCCTCCTCCTCCTCCTCCTCCTCCTCCCCCTCCTCCCCCTGCTCCTGCTCCTGCTCCTCCTCCTCCTCCTCCTCCTCGTCCCCCTCCCCCTCCCCCTCCTCCCCCTTCTCCTGCTCCTGCTCCTCCTCCTCCTCCCCCTCCTCTCCTCCTCCGCCCCGGCTCGAGCGCGCTCCTTCCCCTCCAGCGGACCTGGGATTGAGTCGGGCACGTCCCTCTTCTACAGGAGGAATGTTCAGCAGTAGTCAAGAGATGGTCCGGGGACGATCTTTCAAGCATGTTTGCACTATTTGGGCATCTGTTTTGACTGCATCTTGTTGTTCCTACAAGCTCCGCCTGTAGGAGGATGTGCCCGACCTCAGCCTGGCAGCGGCGCCCGCCCCAGCGGCCCGCCTGGCGGTGCGCGGCCTGGGGGCCGGCCGCGGCCGCGGCTGGTCGCCGCGGGAGCGTTTTTGGGGGGGGGGCGGTTCGTCGGCGGGCGGCGGTGGCGTGCGGCGCCAGTCGTTTCGGCCAGTGTGATCCGCACATCCAAGTTGCCGCAGCAGGAGTGGACACAGTGCTGCTCCGGAGCGACGGGGCGGCGGTGGCGTGCGGGGGCCACACCGTGCTGCTCAGGAGCGACGGGGCGGCGGTGGCGCGCGGCTTCAATCGTTTCGGCCAGTGTGACCCGCCGTCGCTGGCTGCGGGCCAGACTTGCACCCAGGTCGCAGCAGGAGGGGGCCACACAGTGCTGCTCAGGAGCGACGGGGCGGCGGTGGCGCGCGGCTTCGATCGTCTCGGCCGGCGTGACCCGCCGCCGCTGGCTGCGGGCCACACGTTCGGGTTCAAGGATGGCGGCCGGTGCGACCTGCCCGCGGCGCCAGGAGGTCCGGCGCGGGCGCTGCAGCTGCTGCCCGCGCTGCTCCCGCAGGGCGCCTGCCGAGGGCGGCTCCGTGCGCCTCGCGAGCCTCGTGAGGCGCGGAGCGCTGCCAGGTCGGGGCCGCGCCCGACGCCCCGCTGGCGCGGCGCGCACCGCCAACGGCTGGCCTCGGAGCCGGGCGGGTCGACGGTCCGCGCTGCCGGGCGGGCGGCTCCCGAGCGAGTTCTCGCGGGCGCGGAGGGCTGCCCGAGCGCCTGCGGCCCGCGCAGCGCGGCGGGGCGGTGGAGCGGCAGCAGCCCCGGGGGGGCAGCCGCGGCCGGAGCCGGTCGGCTCCCCGCGGCCCGCGCGGGCAGAGTGCGTAAGCCACCGTGCGCGCGCGCGCGCTCTCTCGCGCTCTCTCGCGCGCTCTTGCAGCTGCCTGGCCCATCCTGCTTCCGTCCTCATCCCTCCTCCGCATCCTCACTCCCTCACTCCCCCAATCCGCCCCCGAAACTGTTCGCGAGAAGCCCCTCCCCGCTGCCCCCCTCCTCCCTGCTCCAGTCCTCGGGGGTCCTCCCATCCTCCATCCCGCCGTCCCTCGCGCGGGGCCAGGATGAGGATGCATCCGTTCCAGAGCGTTCCGGAACGCTCTGAGAAAGCCGCGGCGCCCGAGGCATCCTCAAGATCAGCGGGATCTCAGAGATCCTCGATTTATCGTTACCCGAAGCTGTTGTCGTCCTGGCTAATTGCGTCTTGGTCCTCCCGCCCGTCGCCCAGACGCCCTCCACGCCCCACCGTCCACCCCCCCTGGAGGAGAAGGAGGAGGAGGAGGAAGAAGAGGATGATGAGGTGGAGGAGGAGAAACGTTCCTCCTTCTCCTCCTCTTCCTCCTCTTCTTCCTCCTTCTCTCAAGCAGTGGCGAAGCCTCCTGATTTACCTATAGGCCCACCACAGAATTTTATGATAACCTTTTGTGGTTTCCACGTGATGTTCCTAGAATATTTCCGGCTGATGACGTTTTGTGTTAAGACGTCGGTTTTAGGTTATAAGAACAGGTGTTGTTCTTAGAACATGTCTTGTTCCAAGAACATATCGTGGTAGGCCTACAGGAATGCTGGGACGGTCGGTCCCTGTTCCATTCTGACCCTTCTGTCTGTTTGGGCGCGGTCGAGCGGGCGCGACCAAGCTGTTGCCCCGAACCTCGGCTCGCCGCCAGGTCGGGGGCCTTCTTTTTCATCACGCCCGACCAGCAGTTCTTCATCAAGACGTGCACCAGGAGCGGAAAGAGGAGGGGGCGGAGGAGGCGGCGGAGGAGGGTCTCGTCGACAGCGCGGGGTTGGGAGCAGGGGGAGGAGGTGGTTGCAGGAGGAGCTTGCGGAGGTGTTTTGGGAGTCAGGAGAGGGGGAGGGAGGGGAAGGCAGAGGAAGAGTGAGGAAAGAGGAGGAGGGAGCGGAAGAGGAGGCGGAGCACGAAGCATGAAGAGGAGGAAACCAAAGACGAGGAGAGCAGGATTCGAAGGAGGCTTGAGCAGGAGCTAGAGTGCGCAGGAGGAAGAGCTGGTGGAGGGGGAGGGGGAGGAGGAGGCAGAAGGGAGAGATACATAGATGGACGATAAGGAAGAGAGTGACCCCAGGGAGGAAAAGCAAGAAACAATTGGAGGAATGGAGAAGGAATAGCAGGATGAAAAGCATCAGCATGATTGGCAGGATGAGCATGATTAGCTGGAAGAGGCGGGATGATGATGCTAATGATGATGTTGATGATGATGATGATGGTGATGATGATGATGGTGGTGGTGGTGATGATAGTGGTGGTGGTGGTGATTGTGATGGTGGCGGTGAATGTGATAATGCCAATGGCAGGGGTTAGTGATGATGCAGTTGGCGATGAGTATGGTAGTGATGCGATGGCGATGACGATGATGCTGATCATGCTGATGATGGTGAGGACGACGAAGATGATGTCGACGATACTAATGATAATGATGATGATGATGATGATGATGATGATGATGATGATGGTGATGGTGATGGTGATGGTGATGGTGATGATGATGATGATGATGATGATGCTGATGATGCTGATGATGATGATGCTTATGATGAAGATGATGATGGTGGTGGTGATGATGGTGGTGTTGATGGTGCTGAGTCTGATGCTGATGCTGATGAAGATCATGCTGATGTCGATGCTGATGATGATGATGATGATGATGCTGCTGGGGATGATGATGATGATGATGATGATGATGATGATGTTGCTGCTGCTGATGGTGATGACGATGATGACAGTGGTTGTGTCGATGGTACTGCTGTTGATGATGATGGTGGTGGTGGTGTGGATGATGGCAGTGGTGGTGATGCTGGTGCCGATGCTGGTGGCGTTGGTGGTGCTACTGCTGCTGCTGATGATGATGATGCTGAGATGGTGGCGAGCTGGTGAGGGTGATGATGCTGATGATGATGGGGAGGAAAAGTATGCAGAGTTGGATAAGGATGCGTTGAGACGAGATGAGATGAGATAATCAGGTGCTATGAGGAGGAGCAGGGGAAGAAGAAGGAGGAGGAGGAGTCCGAGGGACGAGGGTACAGGATGATGATGGTGATGGCTGATACTGGTGCTGATGACGATGATGATGATGCTGCTGCTGATAAGGATGATGATGCTGATGCTGCTGCTGCTGATGATGCCGATGATGCTGATGCTGATGATGTTGATGCTGATGCTGTTGATGATGATGCTGATGATGAGGATGCTGCTGATGGTGCTGATGATGCTAATGACGTTTATGCTGCTGATTATGATGTTGATGATGGTGATGTTGATGAGGATCACGATGAGGATGAGGATGATGATGATGATGATGATGATGACGATGATGATGATGATGATGATGATGATGATGATGATGATGATGATGATGATGATGATGATGATGATGATGATGAATAGGAGGAGGAGGTGGAGGAGGAGAAAGAGTAGGACGAGGAGGGCGAGGATGGGGAGGATGAGGAAGGGGAGTTGCGCAGAACCAGCGGACATGGCACAAGGTGGGAGGAGGAGTACGAGGACGAGGACGGGGAGGAGGAGGATTAGCGGGAGGCCAGACGGCCGACGGCGGAGGAGGGTGCGCCCTTGCCCACCCACGTCGCCTTTGTGGCGGGAGCAAGTTGGGGTCATCCAGAAGTCTCCGACGCCTCGGAAGGGCGTCCTTCCCCCTGCTCTTCCTCCTCCTCCTCCTCCTCCTCCTCCTCCCCCTCCTCCTCCTCCTTCTCCTCCTCCTCCCCATCCTCCTCCCCTTTCTCCGCTGCGTAGGCCCTTCAGACACGCCCCCGCCCCTGCCGCCCGCCGTCGCCGGAGCCGCTTCTCCTCTTGCTGGCGAGCCGGCCCTTCCCTCGCTGCATGTCCCTCCCCCTGCGCAGCCTCGTGGGCGGCCCCGAGGTCCCGAGACGCGTGGTCCGAGGGCTCGCGGCGGGCCTCCCGAAGGGCCTCCCTCCTCCCCCGCTCCCTTCCGGCCTCTTCCCTCCCTCGTTTCCTCCGCATGCCTCGCTCCTCTCGCGGAGGAGGAGGAGGAGGAGGAGGAGGAGGAGGAGGAGGAGGAGGAGGCGGAGGAGGCGGAGGAGGAGGAGGACGTGCGCGCCGCCCGCCGCCGCCCCGCCTCCGCCCCTGCCCATCCGCTCTCCCTCTGTCCTCCTCTGCAGCCTGGGCAGCTTCTGCTGTCTTGGCTGCTCCCGCCGCCCCTCGAGCTCGTCGAGGGTGCTCGCTGTACAGTCGGGGCCCTGAAGAAGGAACCCTTTTCGTTGGGGAGGGGCTCCGCGTTCCTTAAGTGTTTCACAGCTTGCCTCAGGTTTTCCTTATGTTTCCGATAGGAAATCGAAATTTCATTTATGGTAGAAGGGGCCTCGTTCCTTATTTAGGGTTCCTCAGGTCAACGCCCCGACTGTATGCTCGCTCCTCCTGGCCCAGTCTTAGCCTGGGCCCCATGGGCGTCCCTCTTGAAGACATCGCCGCGCAGAGACACGAGGGTGCACGTATCGCTCTTCACTGTTCTGGTGAGCCAGCCGTCCTTGTGTGCCAGGCTTGTGCAGCGTATACTTCCCACGGCTGGTTTGAGGGCTTGGGGGAAGCGTGCCACCCTTAGTCGGAAACTGGAGCATATACATTACCAGTGGCGGGCGGTTTTTCAAGCCCAGGGCTTTTTTTGAGGGTCGGGGGCGACGTTGGGGTGGTGTGGTGTATACTTGCTTCCCCGTTTTCCCGTGGAAACAACAAAACATGTATACACCAGGATGCCGCATACACCAACGTCCGCTTTCTTGTGCGAATCTCAGTGCGGGACCGGAAAGACAGCATCGGTGTATGTTCGGTTCTTTACCAAGCCCTTTCAAGTTCGGCAAGTGGGTTTGGTCGGTCTCTCGCAGAGGTCGGCACCACAGGAGAGGTGAGCTCTCGGTGGAGTGCCCTCTCGGGATCTCTGACCTCGAACCTTCTGCCCGCATCAGAGCCAGATCGGCACTCCAGCGCAGTCTTAAGTCGGGCCTGTCCCCCTAGAGGGGGATCTTCGACGAAAAATAAGAAATACCCCCAAAATAGTCAAACAATAATCCAAACATAGCCTGGGGACTATGTTTTGAGTATTGTTTGACCTTTTTGGGGTATCTTGGGGGTATTTTTCATTTTCCGTCGAAGATCCCCCTGTAGGGGACAGGCCCGACTTCAGCGCAGTCCCGAGGTTCCAGATCCCAAGGGGACGCCAGGCACAGGGGTGCGACCGGTGCTCCGCTCGCTCGCACGGTCCGGCTCGGGAGAGCGGTCGACGCCACATGTCGCGCCGTCGGCTCGCGGGGCCCACCTTGAGGGTGAGACTTGCAGCCCCGGGTTGGAGCATCAAGGCATATCTGCCAGCCAAGCTCGGAGGTGGATAGACCTCCTGCCCTGGCACGTCGATTAGTGAATTGGCCGTCTTCGGTTCGCGAGGGGGCGTCGCGGCCGGCGTTTTTGCAGGTCCAGGTCCGTCGGTTTCGGTCCTATAGGCCGTTGTCACTAAAGGCCGGTTTACGAAAGGGAGGTTTGTCCACCGCCGATACAGTCGGGGCGCTGAAGAAGGAACCCTTTTCGTTGGGGAGGGGCTCGGTGCTCCTTGATTGTTTCAAAGTTTGCCTCGGGTTTTCTTAAGGTTTTCCCTGGGAGATCGAGGTTGAACTTGTGGGAAAAAGGGGCCTCGTTCCTTATTTAGGGTTCCTTAGGTCAACGCCTCGACTGTAAGCGGGTGTCTGTCGCCCTTTCGTCGTGCGCCCGTGGCGGTGGAGGTCTCTTGAGGGCCACCCCCCCCCGGGCCTCACCTGCAGCCAGCCCGCACGGGACGGATGGGCAACCTTCCTAAGAGTATGTACTCTTTCGGAGATTGGTAGACCTCCTACCCTGACACGTCGATGAGTGAATCGGCCGTTTTGGCTTCGCGAGAGGGCGTCGCGGCCGTCATGTTTGCGGGTCCAGGCCAAGGTTTCGGTCCCAGGCCGTTTTCACTAAAGGGTGGTTCACTAAAGGGAGGTTTGTCCACCGCCGAGGTACCCTTGCATCCTTGCCTCCTCGGTCCATCGTTGGCCACTTTCGTTGGCCGCGCCCCGCTCGAAAAGCTTCGAAATGGGCGTCCAAGGCCCTGGAATCCTCATCGCGCATCCTCGTGATACTGGCCGACTGTGTGCCCTCGGCGTTTGGATTGGTGCGGTGTTATGCTGGCTCGTGTTCGAGGCACCAGCCGCCACCGCCCTGCTTGTCTCTTGCGCGTCAGGGTGGCGCTGTCCAGGTGGGCGTCCTCGGCTCCGCAGTGGAGGTCGGCCTCAGTCTTTCTAGGCTGGTCTTTCGTGTCGATTAGCATCTGGGAGTCGAGGAGACAGCGCCGATTCAGCGTCGATTCACCGTCGATGAGCGTCGACATGGCGTCGACTAGCGTCGATTCGCAAGAGCCGACAAGATGGCGTGGAAGGCTCCCATGAGTCGGGGGTGGAGAGAATCCCCAACAGTGACACGTCGATTAGCGAATTGTCCGTTTCTGGCTCTCGAGAGGGCGCCGTGGCCGTTATCTTCCAGGCCTGCGCCCGCCAGGTGTGGGCCTCAGGTCGTTCGCCCTAAACCACGTTTCACTAAAGGGGGGTTTTGTCCATCCTCGAATGAGTTGCCACCGAGGGGGGTCTGCCCATCCCCGAATGAGTTGTCCATCCCCGAATCTGCTGCATGCAGCTGGTTTCGGCCCCACCGAGGGGCCCATTCCGCGATACATGGGCGCCTCCCGGCGCCGGGAGGCGCCAGGAAAATCAGCTATGTGAGCTGATTCTCGAATCCCCCCTCTGCTATCACCCCCTGTCGCCCGGCCCGAACGAGTTGCCACCGAGGCCTCATCCTCGGACCGTGGCCGCCGCGGCTCGCTCGCCTCCGGGCGCCCAGCCGCGCAGGCCCTCGCCTGCCGGGGCTTTCTCTGGGGGCGCGTTCGTCCGGGCGGGAGAAGCAGACACACGGGCACAATGAATCGACGATTCCCCAGAAGATGTGGGAGAATATGGGAAGCGGGGGGGAAGACAGACACCCAGCAAATCTGGGAAAACATAGGGGGACGCCTGTTGTTTGTGTCTACTTGTGTGTGTCTGTGTGTCTGTGTCTCTGTGTCTCTGTGTCTCTGTGTCTCTGTGTCTCTGTGTCTCTGTGTCTCTGTGTCTCTGTGTCTCTGTGTCTGTGTGTCTGTGTGTCTGTGTGTCTGTGTGTCTGTATGTGTCCCAGGGCCCCTTCAGGTGAGCAACGCCGCTCCCCCCTCTGCCCGCGCGCTCTCCTCGGCCGTGCCGCCATGCGTGGCCAGTTCGGCCACGTTCGGGCCGAACGAAAGGGGGGGGATAGGGAAAGGGGGGGTTACGAAGTCTGCTGCATGCAGCTGGTTTCGGCCCCGCCGCCGGGCCCATTCCTCGATACATGGGCGCCTCCCGGCGCCGGGAGGCGCCGGGAAAATCAGCCACGCGAGCGGATTCTCAACCCCCCTCCTTTGCTATCCCCCCCTTTCGCCAGGCCCGACACGTGCGTCCGACGTCTGCCCTCGAGCGTGCCCGGGGCTCTCGCCGCGGCGCTGGCGACATGCAGCGCCGCTCCCCCCCCCCCCGCGCACACCGCTCCGGGGGCGCCGGCCAGGTGCAAGCTTCCAGCCCAGGCCACTGCTGCTGAGGCATCCTTCCCCCCCCTCCAAAACTCTTGGCATCGCTCGGACGTGTGCATTTTTCTTTCGGGGAGGGCCATCGAGGAACCTCCTTGACCATTTGGCGAAAAAACCATGCACGAAACCGAAAAAAACACAAAAAATGGACGTCCGAGCGATGGCGAGAGCTAGGGGAACAAAAGTGGCATATACATAAAAACTCGGCGATCCGCGCGGATTTCTCGGATCGGCGCTGGACCCCCCTCCCTGGCGCGCGGAGCGCGCCAGGGGCGGCGCCAGAGGCGCCGCCGGGGGGCCCCAGCGCCGATCCGAGAAATTCGCGCGGACCTCCGAGTTTTCATGTTTATGTCACTTTTTGTTCCCCTCCATAGCGCCACCTTTTCTTATTGATTGTCAATGAAAGTCCACATGATTGCCGTGTCTGTGCCTTTCTGGCCTCTCCTGCCCTCCCCCCTCCTGCTCGCGTACGGAATTTCGAGTACTGTGTTGAGTCGGGCCTGTCCCCCTACAGGGGGATTTTCGACGAAAAATGAAAAGTACCAAAAAATAATCAAAAAGTAGTCCAAAATTAGTCTGGGGACTATTTGTTCAGTATTTTGTGACCTTTTTGGTGCATTTTTAGGGTATTTTGCATTTTTCGTCGAAAATCCCCCTGTAGGGGGACACGCCCGACAGAGGTTTTGTGATTGCCTTTTCACGGTCCTTTTCAGGAGGGCCAGCGCGCTTCGCAGCGCGCCCGTCGCCCAGCATTGGGCTGCCTTCGGGCGATGGCGGTCGCTCGTTCGTTCGTTCTGCCCCACGCGAGTGCGTCCCGGCATTGCCGCCGCGCGTCCGGCACCACAGCCTGTGGTGTCGGACGCGCGCGGCGGCCCCCCTCAGGTTCTAGCATGCGTGAATTACCTACCCCGCTTTCGCTTCCAGGCAAAACCAAGCCATACCACGCGCCTCCTCGTCAAGCGGCCTGACCAGTACAGGCTGCAATTTGGCATCGTTTGGTATCTCTTGGAAGCGAGGGTGGTCAAAAGCGAGGTAGGTTTGTTTTTTCCCTATAGACGGCTCGACCAGAGCGCGGGGCCCCATCTTTCTGCCGCGCGCTCCTACCCGGTCGATATGTGATGGCCCCTGGGTCCGAAGCTGGACGGCAGCGCCCGACGCGAAAAAAAGTTGCGACGCCTGGATCTCAGGGCCTGGCATCGCTCGGGCGTGTGTATTTTTTTCTCGGCGAGGACCCTTGAGGAACATCCTGGATCATCGGGCGAAAAAAACACGCACGAGACCGAAGCATGCACGGGAAGTGGACGTCCGAGCGACGCCTGGATCTCGGGGCCCTCCCTCGTCGGCTCCCTCCCTCATGCCCCCTCCTCCTGGAGGCTCCACCGCCCACCCGCAGCAAGGAGGAGCCACTGTCCAGGGTCACCCTTGAGCATCCTTCCCCTCCGGCCCAGCCTCGGCCGCCCTCACCGGCCGCTCCCCGCTCGCAGAAGATCGACATGTGGCCCCTCCGAGGCCCCTGCAGCCGCACCGAGGGCGCCCCTGTTACGCTTTTTCGATTCGCGGGTCGAGAGCGCACCTCTTCCGGTCGAAGCTGAGCGGGCCGCGCGCAGCTTGGATCACGCAGAGGTGGGGGAGGACGGAAGGGGGGCGCAGCCTCAGAACGAGGCCGGGAGGAGGTTCAGAGCCTCGGCACCAGGCGGTGTCGAAGTCGACGAATTGGGCGCCCCTGTTGCACGGGTGGACCGCAGGCCCCCCCCCCCTTGGCATCGCTCGGACGTGTGCATTTTTCTTTCAGCGAGGGCCATCGAGGAGCATCCTTGATCACTTGACGAAAAAACCACGCACGAAACCGAAAAACACACAGGGAATGGACGTCCGAGCGATGGCGAGCCCCCGCAGGAGCGACTGGCGGGCTCTGCTGCGGATCCTTCCGGCCTACGTCGAGCACCTGGAGAGCGCGCGGGAGCACCTGAACCGCAGCAAGCTGCGCGGGCGGCGCCGGCCCGCGCCTCGCCCCTCCTCGGCCCGGGTGCCCCCAGTGCCCTTTTGCGCTGCGGCTCCCGCTCCTCCTCGTGCTCTCTAAAATGACGCGAAGATCGGGACAAAGTCGGATCGGGAT